CTAGCTAAAGATACACCAACAGGTTAGCCTAGCTAAAGGTACACCAACAGGTTAGCCTAGCTAAAGATACACCAACAGGTTAGCCTAGCTAAAGATACACCAACAGGTTAGCCTAGCTAAAGATACACCAACAGGTTAGCCTAGCTAAAGATACACCGACAGGTTAGCCCAGCTAAATAACGAGCTAACAGATGCTAACTGTCCGGTCAGCTTCCTGCTCTGATCAAATCTAATTTTAGGACCGTTCAGGGAATAAATGCAGCTTTAATCAACACAACAATGTTTGTCAGCTTGAACTGTTGATGCAGGTTTAATTAGCTGTAAAGTTACAAAGATAAATAATAAAAAGGAGTTAAATTAATGAAGCCCATCCAACCTGACATCCTCTCTTTCCGGGTTTATTTCAGCTCTTATAATAAATCCCGGCGGCAGAGAAAACATTTTTATAAACCTGTTAGTTTTTTCTACACAGAGGAAACGTGTTGTTTTTCTGTGAACACGGTGTGACTGCAGCAGGACTAGCATCAGTAACACAGCCACAAACACGACATGAAGCCGGTCTTACCATTCTGATGGGACGGTACGAGCTCCTGGTTGAAGGCAGCGGCCTGTCAGCACCCAGAGACCCGCTGAGAGCMCACTGACAGGCGGACAACCACCGGCTCCTTTAACCGCTGTCCTTAACTCCGCCTCCGCCACAGATCCTTCCGCCAGCCTCCTCTCCCCGGCAGCTAGCTTCCTTCAAACACAGAGCAGCTTATTTATATCCAGAGAAAAGGACAGAAAGACATTAATTAACTACATTTAGAGGCAGTTTTTTCTATCATTGTCACTCATAAAAGAAACCAAACGCTGTGTCCCGACGGACTAGTTAACGGCGGATGGCTACATGGTGCTACTCTGTGATGAGATAGCGGAAAGAAATCGCGCTCGCTGATTGGTTGGTTCGTACCTGCAATGCGTCACTCCCCGCGGTCTGRGCTCTGTGCTGTTCGATACCTGGAATCGATCCGAGTCCAAGTAGAGCCGGTGACAGGTATCGATCTGAGGGCAGGTTGTGTCGTTTTTAAAGAGAACCGTGTGAATAAAAACARAAAAGTTAAGCAACATGTCTTCCCTCAGTCCCTCTCAAAGCAGCTGTCCTCTCTGACCTCCTGTTGGTCCTCTCCTTCACCTCTCAGGTGTAGCTGGTCCTGCTCACCTGCTCACCTGTGTTCACCCACTCTGTGGACAGGTTGTGTAGTTTGTGAAGTGCAGACACACTGACACAGCTCAGTCTGCTGCTGAGGCTGCAGGTGCATTCAGCACAGCTTCAAAACGTTCAGCTTGTGCAGGTGAATGAAGAAAGCTCATCAAATAAACAGAAATATCTTCAAATTCTTTTATTTTTATTTTTCTCTACAGCAGAGAGCAGCTGTCGTGACCTTTAAACAACTGATTGATTTAAAACCAGGAAAGTTCATTAACAAGAATTAAACTGTATTATTAC